AGATCATCAAACTGGCTTGACCTCTTTTCTCATGCAGTTACAGGTTTGACTGATAAAAATAATAGTGCAGAAATAGATGGCCATGTGCACTGCAAGACTGTATCCCCATGACACGATCGAAGAAAATAGAGCAATGCAAAAAGTCAACATGGCACATATTTATATGGGTTAGAAAGTGGGTAATTATAGAGATCATGTTGTTAACGTAAATGCAGATTCTTCATGGAGTGTCTTTCTAGAGGGGTCTTGCAAGGAACTCTTCTTGCCTGTGCTAATTAGCACTTACTGCTGCCTGGTGAGAAAGCAGATATAGTCGTTACTTGTAAAGAGTACGGGCTGAGAGATGGAGACAAATCACTGTTCCAGAGTCACGGAGGTTTGATAGAAGTAGGTGTGAGCAAACACTGTCTCTACATGGTGAGAAATCATGTTACACATTTGGGATCAAAGAAGGTGGGCTGTGCTTATATAGTGTGGGATTCTCTCCTGGGCAACTGTAAAGTCTGAAAAAGGTTTGAGACGTGATTTTGCAGTATTGATGCTGTAGCTCTGGTTATTACAGGATGCAATGTTTCTTGGATAAACAAAGAGTACAATAAAAGTATATGGTTTATAGATCGGTGGTAGGACTACTAAGGGAATGCTCTTTCCAGCTCTAACACACTTCAGAAAGCTATTGGAAAACCTGCAGTGACTCAGAAAAATGCCAGGAAAAAAATTACTCAAGGTTGCAAAGCATGCCCTGTATTGAAAAATTTGGAAAGACAGTTTCGTTTGTCAAGGGGAAGGTTCCGGTGAAAATTTCTTATAGTCGAAGTACTGGCAATGGAGAGACAAATTTGCTGCCTAGTCTGTAGAAGGTGGGAATTTTTTATTGGTCACAAAGCAGTCTCCAGGGCTCTTCTGGCTCTTGCTGAGAGAAACTTCTGTTACCTCCTAGATTACCTTTCTTAAGTTTCCATTCAACTCTGTCGAAAAGGGAACTAAGCAAAATACTTCTTTTCAGTGTTTGAGAACACTGGTTGGGCACACGGGCGGAGTCTGGTCATCGCAGATGAGGGACAACATCATCATCAGTGGATCTACAGACCGAACGTTGAAAGTCTGGAATGCTGAGACTGGGGAATGCATCCACACTTTGTACGGCCACACCTCCACCGTGCGCTGCATGCACCTCCACGAGAAGAGGTGAGGCTTTGCCCAGCGCTGCCGCGGGGCCTGTGCTCGCGCTGCCGCTCGCGGGAGTTGCTTGTTTCACCCAGTGAAATACACACCAGGCGAGGCGCTCAGGCTAAACTGCCTATACATCAACACGAGGGAGGAGATGGCTGATAGAGGCAAAGGCATAAGAGTACTAATTAAAGAACAGAAAATTGAGTCATGTACTTTCTAAAGTCACATTCTGCGTTATTTCAAAACGGTTTGTTAGGTTGTGACCCAGTCTCCCATGTGCTTTCTCCTTTTTCTCAATGCTACAAACTTTTACTCATTGTACAGAGTGACTTTTTAAGTATTGCTATTGTATTTTATATCTTTTATATATTATACATATACATTATATTTTATTTATATATTATGAT